GGTGCAAAGGCGGAAACGTAATGGTTTATTTTAGGTTCCCCAAGCCAACCTGTGTCCCCCTTTGGAGAGATTTTGCAAACTTCCTGTCTCGGTGACCTGACAGGAAGTCAAGGGGAACCTCCACATGGGCTTTAGCAGCAGCCATGAAAATTCCCTAGTGAGGACAAACCTGACGGATGTTCTCATCCATCCCCGCCCTATACTTCAGCAAAAGGTTTTCTACTCCCGTCTACGCCCCCCTCCATCGTAGGGATTTTGATCACTTCCTGTCCTGGTGACCTCACACAGGAAATGAGCTTTCCCCAGCGAGGACAAAAACGACACAATGTTCTCATTCATCCCTTCCCGACTTCAGAAAAAGGAGGGAACCTCCACATGGGCTTTAGCAACAGGCATCGAAATCCTAACCCTCCCCCACTTAAAAGAGATTAGAACGGTCACAAAATTCTAATGAGTCCATCTTGCAACCATAGCAGGAGTACAGACAGGATGTGAAGGCGTCCTCCTCCCTCTGCTCCTGTAATTGGCTCACTGCCTTTCCCAGACACGTGCAGAGAGCTTGAGGTCAAATCACAGGCATCCCCTGTTTCTATATATCTAAAGGGACGTCTAGTTCCTCATTGGCAGGCAGGGGGCGCCACCGCACCTTGTAGAGTCCCAATTGATAGTTTACTGATAAGGGATCGACCAGATTAAAAAAAAAATGCCGACGCGTTTCGCGTTACACATATTGATTCTTCCGCCTTCCTGAATGCTCATTGGTTGTCCTCGTTAACGTGATCGTTTACGTTCCGCGCAGGTGGCACGGCGCTGGGGGAGGCGTAAGAACAAGCCCAGGATGAACTACGAGAAGCTGAGCCGCGGGCTGCGCTACTACTACCACAAGAACATCATCCACAAGACCGGAGGGCAGCGCTACGTCTACAAGTTCGTCTGCGACCTCCAGGGACTCCTCAACAGGTCGACGCAAGGGCTGCCGCAGGGCGCCAAGGACCAGAGCCAGCGGCCCAAGGAGCAGTGAGGGGGGCCCGAAAGAGCTTCCACAAAGACTATGAGAACTTATCGCGGTCCCGAGAGTTGG